GTGGCTACTCTCGTGGAGCGCTACTATCTGTTCACGGACAACACACATAACTTACACCTGAACAATCAGGACCATGTTATGGACAATTTTTACACTCACTACCAAATCATTTGCCGAGTTTCATCCAGCGTTTACTCGCCGTAAACACCGGTTGTACGCAGTCGACCAATTCCACGCAAATTCATTATTATGCGTATCTTCTGTCCCTAACGGGGGAGGGCCGAGCAAAGGTCGGGGAGGACGAAAAGGAAGGCTATACCTTTTGGGGTCATTTGACTGTCCAGTATCTCGAAAGTATACCTGGTATTTGAACCTTAAAGCATTTAGCAGATTTGTCACGTGTAATAAATGGATCAGAATTCCTGCTTTTTGACCGGCATCATAGCTGTTGGGATTCCATGGATCCCGATTCCAAAAACAAATAGGTCTTCGAAAAGGCAGGAACCTCTGGACTTTTCCGACTGGTCGCATATAGCCGGAGACAAAATCTTCAGCTCGTATAAACTTCTGAAACCGAAGCCGGAAATGCGACAATTCTTAAGAATTCTATAGAGTTTCAATCACGATAAAAAAATGGGAGACATAAACCCTCGAGTTGGAATTCGAGTTCGAGTTCGAGTTGGACTTCGAGTTGGACTTCGAGTTGGACTTCGAGTCAGACTTCGAGTCGGACTAAAGAGCTAAATATAATATATAATACAGTTGAGGAGCGCAAAAAAATAATGCTTAATTTGCTAATGCTTAATTATCACAATTTATTGAACAGTTGAAGTTATATATCGTGAAATATCTTGAAATATGTGAAACAGGAAAATAATATATGTACAACCTAATACGATATGATACATGTATATTTTGTAAATATTAGATACACACCAAAACACACACATTCTGCTCCCTAATATATATATTTAGTCCATCGCCCATGAGTCGTTCCATCGTGTGCATAAACGTTCACTGTCTTATATATACATGTACACAAGGTTTTTGCATTGCAATATGGTTTTGATATGAGTATAGTTTATTATAAGGTTGCTCGAAACTGGACTAAATTAGTTTTGCATGAGTCCAGGGTCCAATTATCCWGGATCCAACGGTCCAATCTAGATTTTTCTCTATACCGTATTATAAGTCTGTCTCACCTGTGATCTCTCAGTTAATGCGTGTCGCCTTTATTGTTAGGATGATGTAGGTTATCAAGTAACTTAACGCTCACATGATATTTTGTGATATTTGCTGCAAAAGACACGTTGATCACGTACAGTCTAAAAAAATGAATGTTGCTATGCGATCGGGTATTACTGAAAAGCGATCGTAAGTGGTTATACAAGGCAAATCGGGACTAGGGATTTTGATCTTATATTTTAATTCATTGAAAATAATAAATCGTTAAACGGGATTGATGTCTGAATTGTAGCTAAAACTTTGGGAGGAGTGGAAATGATGATGGTACACCGTTGCATCGCGGTTTTCCACAACAACTGTCTATAATAAAAGTACGTAAACTTACAAGGGTAAAAAGATGATACTCATACCACTGAGATAACGAGAGAGATACCTCAACATAATCACTGACAAAAGTCATTAGTGAAATTTGAGCATACAAGCAAATAAAGCAAATATTATCAAAGTCATTTAAGAGAGAATGAGGGAATTTTATAGGGAATAAATTGGTTCTAAAAATTGGACATGCTTAATCTCTGTATTGCAAGTAATAATATACGATCTTTCTTATATGAATTCATATAAGAAAGTGTATTCGACTGACTCTAAGTCTAACTCGAAGTCTAACTCGATGTCCAACTCGATGTCCAACTCGAACTCGAACTCGATGTCCAACTCGGCAAAACGGGATTCCCTAAAAAAATATATATTATGTCACGACCCTAATTTATGCTTCGGCGTTACTAAGCTTATAATAATGTCACGTGTCAAAGTTGAAGTAGTGGACTAAACATGCAATTCTGTAAAGCGTATCCGAGCAAGAATCAATTTGGTTTTAACACTGAGTTGATTATAATAACTATAGATTCGTCTAAAATACTAAAATAAGACACAGCACAGCTGTGGAACTACTGTAACGGATCAAGATCATATGAAAGTTCATCGATATGATANAATCAATCAATCAATCAATCCATCAATCAATCAATCAATCAATCAATCAGTTATTTGCTACAAGAATAATGTGACGCAATGGCCAGAATCAATGCGTCGCGTTGCAGTTTAGCTGTTCTCTGTTGTTCTCATTTTTTCTTTGCTTCTAAAAATATTATTCTTCAATCTTCATGGATTTTTATGAAACGCACTACTTTGCCCCACAACAAACGATTTGGCCTGAACCACGACACACCACATTAATTTAAATGCAAAAGTTTTGACTTATTGTGTCTGACTGATCTAGCCTGCGTAGCGGCCCTAAGGGGACTGGGGAAGGCCGAGCGGAGATTCGCTACCTCTACAATGTAGACTGACCTTAGGCTTGACCATCCAGGCTCAACAAAAGGCGATATCAGTTGCAGTCTTAAACAATCTCTAACTTAACATCTCACAGTGGTAGATGGAATTTTAACATAACAGGGCTGGTTTGATCGTGATGTGGGATACATTTTGAAATTTTATTTGAGATTTCTGATGAAGCATAAGAAAGTGTGCTCAAGATAAAAGCTCCGACAATGAAAATAGCATTCATGAGTAAGCGTTGCTTACGTTTGATATATTTTCACACTGCCRTGACTATATACTTGTGGAATCTTACCGATAAATACGGCTTTCCGTCCTTCACCCATCCTATAACCATATCAGCTTTGTCCATCTTCCCTTGGCCCGTTGAAATACCAAATCCAACCCAACCTTTGGTAGCGCCATCTAAAGCAAACGACACAGTTTCTTCATCGATCGTCCAGTAGAGCTTCACTTTCTCGTCAGGGTCGAGGGCTGCGAAATGGTCATACTCGTCAACCAGGGCTGCATTGCAAATGGAAAAGAGTCCAAAGAGAAGCAGTAAAGTCGAGATCTTCGTCGCCATGACTGAGTGCATGAGKTGTGATGTGACATGTGCGGCAAGGTCAACGAATAGAGGATCATCATGAAGAGATATCATATTCTTATGTTTTCAGCGACAAAAATGCAACACACACCTGAAAGGTCACTGTAACAGAGAGACCAATTCATGTAACAGAGAGAAGCCAATTTGACGAAACTGTACCCATAATCGACCATGACAAAAAGCAACAAGAAGAGAAGAGCAAAGCGACATGAGAGAAAAACTAAAAGAATGAATATTCAAAATCTACGCGCATAACTTATAACTTGTATTATATAGACGCGTCGGGTTCTCCAGACATATTATTTCAGTGACAGTAACTTAGACTGCCAACTATATCCTGTAAGCCAACACTACATGACGCTAGGTTACGAGATCCAGCGAGATCGGAAATTTATTTTTTGCGGAGTTTATTTTCAAGGGTCTTTCGCCCGGAATTGCATCCTTCTATAAGAACTATAACTTTCCTTTACTTCCTTTGTATGACTCTGTGCCGTCTTCGCGCCTTTACAAGTTTATCTTATGAAACATAGGCTTAATTATTTGATTTTTAATTATCATTATTAATATTTTTTTATCAGTCTTTTTTGCAGCATTTTCAGTCTATTAAAGTAAGAACACCTCCTTTCAAAAATTTTCGTAGATGAAAAGTAAAGCTGCAAAGAGTCCAATAGCATGAAAGAGCATGTTATTATGGACGAGTTCCGTAGCTGAACTGTCAACATCTTTGCACCGATCGTTTGGCTTTGAAAACGAAGTAGTGACCTTCGGTGTTGGGTTTTGGTACTTGTCTTTGGTAACGTCCTGAAAAACAAGTATTTATCAGATAATAATTRCAATCATGGTAATTAACAAGACAATGGGAGTGGTCCTGATGACGTCATGCGAGTGTGATGCACCATGGGATTGGAGGAGGTACAAAGTGGAGGGATACAAGTTGTTTGAGTGTGGTGCTGTCTTGCGTAGTTCAGCATGCTAAGCAAAATGGAAAGAAACTGCGAATGAGGTTGAAATGTAATGAGACATCAAACACATGTATACCTCAAGAGACTTGCTGCGAGTGTTCTGCTTGTTGCAAATCGGTCGACCAAGAAATTGTGTTTCCTCGTCAAGAATTTTCCTGTAATAATCCGTCATTTCTTTTGTCCAAGTCTTGTTACTTGCAACAATAGGATTTCTAATCAAGCTAGCTCTAGCCTTAAGTTCTCTACGAAGAGCAAGAAATGATATCAAAGGAACGAACAATGAGAGCTGATCTAAACAATCAAACAAAATCATTAAAAAAATTAGGAAAGGACAAATTAAACAATCACAWTTTTCCAAAGATAGGTACTTTTCAATTACTTACATACATTTCAGAAAACCTTGAATATTGGAGATTGTGCATTGTGGCTACTGACAATGATAATTGTAAACTTAATTACTTTCCTTTGAATTTTGATTGTACAGAGGGGGTATAGTCAGAGCCCGAAACTCCTTTTCAACGGCGATACAACGACCAGCATGCAATACAGTCTCTTAAATACACTATCTTCAGTATTCAACTTTTTCTGAAATATCTGTTTGGCTAGGATTACATGATATCAGGTAATCATGYATGGAATAAAACCAATACTTACGGATAATATTTATTCAGAATAGCTTCTCCAGCTTTTATATTCACTGAAGTACAAGATCGTTGCTCTTTTGGAAGAATGGGGTAGTAATGTATGAAGTTCAAGCACATTTCTTCTCTGGTGGAGAGCCCCATCTGGGGAAAAGATTAAGTGAGACATTTAACTAATGTGATAAAGCAAGCACGAAGAGGTTACCTCCAATAACTAAGGTAAGAAAAATCGAGCCAAGGCGAACCTAATCACTGACATTTTTTCTGCCATCCCATAAAAAACATGTCACTTTTCAAATTTGTTATGAATCACCCAGCTCTTCCAATGAAGCCGTGATGGGTCCTAACATCATACTCAAAAGGGACGGGTTGTTCAAAGCCCGATTAGCGTTAATCCAGGGTTAACTCTATAGGTTTTCTTAGGCCCTGTTTACATGAGATAGGGTGCTCCTAAGTGGTAGGGCTAACTCTTTTGTATTCTTTTCCCGGCTGGAGGATTGAATACAAAGGATTTTGGCCCTACCACTAGGGGAACCCTATCTCTCATGTAAATAGGAGTCTAAGAGTTAACCCAGGATTAGCGCTAATCGGGCTTTGGACAACCAGGCTATGGAAAGCACGATCCAGGGGGAAAGCAGTAGCACCAACTGATCAGAGCATCTATCCTCCAACACTTTTCCCTTATTTAGTATTTCCCTGGTAGTTTTTGTTGAGTGCAACTTCTCCTGAGTGCGCTGGACCCACCGGAAGAAAGTCTTAGATTCATTAATCACGAAGCAGTTGGCATTTGTTACATGATATACTTACATAAGTTAGTTGTTTACGCTTCATTGTATTATAGACGCAGGTATGGATTATGTCATCACCCTATATTAAAGCCTGATGTCAGTTAACAAGCAGTATCCACAATGTGCCGATAGTACTGATAGTRATTAACTTACAGGTTTGATGTGAACTTCTTTTCGTAAGCGTTGGATATCCTGTTTATTACAGAGATAAGTTACTAAATGGCTACTCATAAACATGCCTTTTTCAACATGGTATTTTGCTCAAATCATCAAGTAAAATATCTTACTTGGAAATTAAAGTCATAGTTGTTATCACGAGCAATCTCTGGCAAYTCCACTCCATTTCTGATATGTCTTGTCCAAATTGCTGMACCTGAARACTCAAAACCARGATTTATCTTTCAATTTGATTATRCGGGCCAATATTAGCCGTGTTCCAACATGTTGGATCACCCGACGTTATGAATCAATTATATATAGAGAGTTTATTTCATGGAAAGTGCGACGTACGGGATTTTATTCACGAGTTGTTTGCATCATACAACGAACGAAAATGTGGAAGAATTTTGATCAACAAACACAGTTCACCTCTATTCAGCCATTTGCCATTTCAGTGTTGCGAACGTCGCTTTCTGATTGGCTGATTACGGTTTTTCTGTGTTGTGATTGGTTATATTTTTACAGTGTGAGAAATGCTATACGCGCTTCTGATTGGACGTATCGCTATTTTTCACTTGTGAAAATATAGCATATAGATTTCTATTTATGCCATTTACTCTATGAAAGTCTCGTTATATATATAATAAATCATTTTACCGCCTGGCACACTTTGTTTGATGTTTTTGAATGAAACATCATACATGTCAGATGGAGTCTGAAGGTGTTCGGCCACCTTTTTTGATGGTGTTAGACATTAATTGTTGGATGGAACATCAAAATTGTTCGCGCGATATGGTGCTTAAAGGCGTTCCTTGTTTGATGGTGTTTTTGCATGGAGTATCAAACGTATTGGATGGAGTTCGGTCACCTTCTGAATGCAGCATCAAATGTAACATGTTCGATGGAGTTTGAAGGTGTTTGAACAACTTGTGCTTTGACGRTGTATTGTTGCTGGATAGAACAATACAAAACAAATCGATGGAGTTTGAAGGTATTTAAATAAGCACCCAACAATATTATGAACTTAGTCATAAATTAAATGCCACAAAATGCCTCATGTTGTGTACCTGAAGTGTACAAAACATGGGGTGTGGAGTCTCATAATCACCTGCCAGATGAGTGTGAAGAAAGCATGAGAAGATCTTGATACCACCTCCAGGAAGCGATGTATTTCTCAAAGCCTGAAGCGAAATTGAATCAGAGATAAACAGGAACAATTTGGTGAAGGGAGACAAAGATGATGAAGAAGAAAGATAATCAAGGAACAACAAGAAGAAGGAGAAGGAGAGAAAGGAATTAAAATAAGAAAGAATAAAGAAAAACAAAGAAAAGAATGAAAAAGAAAGAAAAGCAACAAGAGAGGAGAGCCAGGAAACAACATGAAAGTGATGAACAAAGCATCACACTGCAAACCTCCTTAGTACACTCTTTACTACAATATCCAGTTGTCTTCCAACTTTGTTGATGTGGAGGAATCATTATCCAAGGAAGTATCATTGATCCAACTGACATAACACCAGCATCATACTTTCTGAGTCTGTTCGTGTAATATAGTCTCACTCCCGAATTGTCAACGATATCTAAATGCATTGATAAATCCTTTTAAAAAAAAGAATGACATTTGGGATCAAATATACTCAATGCAGTACCGTTTCTAAGTTTAGGGTTGTCGTAGTGAATTTCAAGGATAACATRTCTACCAGTGTACTCTCCACCGATAGGAAGACCGGCATCTTTGGGATATAAGAAAGCCTAAAAGTAGAAACTTTGTCAATAGAACTGGAACAGTGGAATTGACATTTAATCAAGATCACTTACCCCACCGCCTAYTCCCCATACGGCAACCAATATCCCTTTGCCCATACATTGTATTACCTCTGCAGGCATGTTGGCAAAGTCATAGCATAAACCYGAAAAGTTTTTGTGGTATTCAGGGAAGTCGTGATCGCAGACGTAAGCAACAAGATGATGGACCACGCCTTCATGGCCACGTTGCACGACGGGATCGAACTGGAATGAATACCAGATGTCGTCAAGTTACTGAATATGAGTTGGTCTAATTGGAAAGTGTGGCACTTACACGAACAAGATGATTCTTCTCTTTGAACTCAGGGAGTTTGTGAACAGCGCAGTGGTAGACTGTGTCCACAGCAGGTAGGCTATACTGAAATGAAAAATAATAATAATAATGATCACGAATTTCTGTTTAACAGACAACCAGAGTAGAGATATAATTCATAATGCAGGTGTACATTTAACTTAGCCTCGGCCCCAGCCGAGGTGATGGTGATAGTGATGATGATGATGATGATGGTGATGGTGATAAATATTATGATGGTGATGATGATGATGATGATGATGATGATGATGATGATGATGATGATGATGATGATGATGATGATGATGATGATGATGATGATGATGATGATGGATCGGCGAAGCTGCGGATAAAAAGATGTGCATGTCTGGCTGTATTGGTCAATAGGATGTAGACGATTTTTAAAGATAAGAGAAGATTTGGAGATTGCTATTAACCGGAGTGTGCTCTCTTATTAAACTCTATTATTCTTCTAGTGCAACCATCGGTTTAAAACCTGATACATGACACATAAACCAAGCATCAAAGAACTTTATTTCGTGTCACATCTCACGGTAAGGACTTCCAGGACTTATGGAAACTGAAAGCAAGCACAAACGGCAGAATAGAACTTGGCAAGGTGAATTATGATCGAGTTTGTATACAATTACATTCTTATTTATAGCATCGAAATGCTTCCAAGAGGAATCTGGCTTTTSACTGCTTCTTCCCATGTTATTCAGCAACAGGATACTTCGTATTCCCTTGAACGTATGCTTTTTAACACTCTCAGGAGACTCGGGATCGTCGTCACTTAGTGCAAAAATCACCTTCGAAGTACCTTCCTATGGTAAAGAATATAATAATTAGTATTAGTGCATTATTTGCTTGATCATGGTCAAACTGTAAAACAAACAATGAAAGCCTGATCACATGAGACTGCAACCCACATATCGTATTTACTCGAATGGACGCCGTTGCGTTTATTTCATTTTTTACTATCCAGCTGCGGCGTTTATTCGAGGGCGGCGTTTATTAAAAAAACACTTTATTCCGTACTAAATACCGTGCTTTATATTGTATATTTTTTACTAACAAACAGTAACGATTCTCAATATATAAATGTCGTGTTCATTTTTCCGATTCAATWTATGATTTAAACCAGAGTCAAGCTTCTATTTCAACATCAATGTCCTCCTCGTGGTCGGAATCTAAGAGCTGCTGAGAGCAAAAAAATACAGTACCTTCGAAATAAAATAATGTTCTAAAAGAAAATAAATTCCATTGCTGGTATCATTATTTCCTCAAATTGACGCCGCACTCAGATGCGGCGTCTACTCGGGGGCGGCGTCTATTCGAGTAAATACGGTAGTTTTAGTCCCACGTAAGAAAAAACTGAGGACAATTTATAATTATTGATGACTGGAAAAGGACAACATCTTCCTGGCGTCGTTGCAATTTGAGTATTGGCTGTTTTCAACACCCTTGCAATGATCCCTGTCTGATAAATCTCTACGAAATTCAGCTTTTCTTGAACAGATACCTGAAGTACTTGATCCTGCTTATCGCAAGTGTCAATCTTTCGGCTGAACTTGATRATAGTACGGCCATTGTCTTCCATACCTGAGATTAACTTGTAGTCGTTGTGGTCGTCTAAAGCGGGGTAATGGCCAACACCATGTCTGTCCTGACAAAATACAGCTTTTTCAATTAGCCTTGATAATGGGAAATAGTCGATGGACGACCGATTGGATTCCAAGTCATTCAAACATATTTATGAACTATTACTAAAGGCTGGTTTTCACTAGTAGACATAGGCACAAGCATAGCTATAAGCATAAGCGTTAATTGTGTTTTTACTTCTATGCTTATGTGTGCATAAAAATAGCCATTCTTTGCAGTAAAACACAAATATTTGGTTTAACGGTTTCAGATCGAGCATGTTTCTTTYGTGGCTACTCTCGTGGAGCGCTACTATCTGTTCACGGACAACACACATAACTTACACCTGAACAATCAGGACCATGTTATGGACAATTTTTACACTCACTACCAAATCATTTGCCGAGTTTCATCCAGCGTTTACTCGCCGTAAACACCGGTTGTACGCAGTCGACCAACTCCACGCATAATTTATTTTATGCGTATCTTCTGTCCCTAACGGGGGAGGGCCGAGCAAAGGTCGGGGAGGACGAAAAGGAAGGCTATGCCTTTTGGGGTCATTTGAGTTCTGTCCAGTATCTCGAATTAAAGTATACCTGGTATTTGAACCTTAAAGCATTTAGCAGATTTGTCACGTGTAAATGGATCAGAATTCCTGCTTTTTGACCGGGATCATAGCTGTTGGGATTCCATGGATCCCGATCCCAAAAATAAATAGGTCTTCGAAAAGGCAGGAACCTCTGGCCTTTTTTGGATCACGAGAAAAAAATATTTATTATGTCACGACCCTAATTTATGCTTCGGCGTTGCTAAGCTGATAATAAAGTCACGAAAGTTTCAGGTGCGCATTTCTTTACCGTGTCAAAGTTGAAGTAGTGGACTAAACATGCAATTCTGTAAAGCGTATCCGAGCAAGAATCAATTTGGTTTTAACACTGAGTTGATTATAATAAAATATAGATTCGTCTAAAATACTAAAATAAGACACAGCACAGCTGTGGAACTACTGTAACGGATCAAGATCATATGAAAGTTCATCGATATGATACTACATGTGGCCTGGTAGTGGAAACAATGCCATGATCTTGTTCATGATTATGCTTGCGTTTCATACCGATAAATACGGCTTTCCATCCTTCACCCATCCAATGACCATATCAGCCTTGTCCATCTTCCCTTGGCCCGTTGACACTCCAAATCCAACCCAACCTTTGGTAGCGCCATCTAAAGCAAACGATACAGTATCTTCATCGATCGTCCAGTAAAGCTTCACTTTCTCGTCAGGGTCGAGGGCTGCGAAATGGTCGTACTCRTCTAGCAGGCCTGCATTGCAAATGGAAAAGATTGAAAGAAGTAAAGYAGTCGAGATCTTGATCATCATACTGCACCTTCCGCAGTTATTTTTCGATTTTGCGTGCCACCTTTGGGGCTTATAGTGCTCAATAAATGATATCTGCTCAATATAAGGAGTTGTCAATCAATTTATGCTTGATTGATATATATTTCTTAAGCAACACCTGGCGAATTTTAAGACAGCACGCTAGGTTAGGCAGCATTCGCTTTCAGCTTCGCCAATCTTCTATTATAAAAAGTCAATGAATTTTGTAACGTAAGCAACGATGAAAGGAGTTGTTTTAATAAAAGTACAAAATTCATTTTCAACAATCGCATATTGAAGTAGATCATCTCGTGTGCTGAATGGGTTCCCTGTATCGAACTTGACATGACTGCGCGAAGTAAAGAAAACACAGTTGGTAGTAATCTAAATCATGGCGATGAAGACCACGATTGCTTTCCTTGTCGYAGTYTTTTCYATTTGCAATGCAGSYCTGGTTGACGAGTACGACCATTTCGCAGCCCTCGAYCCTRACGAGAAAGTRAAGCTYTACTGGACSATCGATGAAGARACTGTATCGTTTGCKTTAGATGGCGCTACCAAAGGTTGGGTTGGATTCGGTATTTCAACGGGCCAAGGGAAGATGGACAAGGCYGATWTGGTYATTGGATGGGTGAAAGATGGAAAGCCGTATTTATCGGTAAGATTCCATAGATATAAAGTTGATTTTGAGGACAACACTTAAGAGAAACAGAGGTTATATTAGTTATGAAATAATCTTTTTTTGGGAACTATAGTTTGACATTTAAGTGTTCTGAAAGTGCAAAAAGATCAAATAATTTTGTTTCGTTCCGAATTCTTAACATTGCGACCAAATAATATGTGTACACGTCTCGTAATCTGCACCTCATAGAGCAAAGCCTGCTCATTCTCGAAAACTTGCTTTTGCGTTAAATAAGAAATCTTTCATTTCTWAAGTTGAACAGCAGAGATCAGATTCGGAGCAAATTGCATTTTCAAGTTGTTTTATTATTTTCTTTTTTGAATTTTTTTTAAGAGGTAAACAAATTTTGAAAGGAATTCGGATCAGGGGGTTAAATAAACTATGRCAGTGGGTCCTCACGAGGAATGAATTACAAATCACAATTTTGATTAAAATCTCTATACTTTAAGGATTGGACTTTAGAATTAAGAAACTGTTAGATCATTATCAACAATCAAATATTCAGAACATGAAGAAATCGTGTACAGAAATCTCAAGTAAAATTTCAAAACGTATCAGCCATGCTGCGCCGTATCGAAATTCCATCTGCCACTGTGCGGTGTTACGTCTCTGCCAGGCTAAGACTTAAGCTTGCCTAAGGGTCGCGTGTCGTGGGCACTATGTCGTGGGTAGTGGGTGTGGGTGCATGTCGTGGGTCGTGACCAAATGGAATCATAAAATGACTGACTGCTTGATTGATTKATATCTTAAATTCATTGATAGTTCTAAATATCATCTCAGGATAGACATGGTGTTGGTCATTACCCCGCGTTAGACGACCACAACGACTACAAGTTAATCTCTGGTATGGAAGACAATGGCCGTACTATCATCAAGTTCAGCCGAAAGATTGATACTTGTGATAAACAGGACCAAATACTCAAGGTGCAAATAAAATAAAAGGAAAATTTCATATCACTTGAATAATGATTTACTTCCGGTCAATGCACTTTTAAAAACGCTTACTTGCATCGTTGGTTTTGCTTTAAAACGGATCAGTTGTTGGAAGTRGTCGTCTGTTTGGTTCAAAATCAAATATGGCGATTTTTTATCTGTGTGAACTTCGAGCAAAGGCTTTTATTAACATCTTTGTTTTCCAGGGGGGTACTACTAAGCTGATTTTTGCTCTCAACGACGAAGATCCTGAATCTCCAGACAGTATCAAAAAGCACACGTTTAAAGGAATCCGAAGTATTTTCTTTCTGCATTATCAAGGACACACTAAGAAACCCGACGCATCTTGGAAACATTTTGACATCTTGAACAGAAACGTAAGTACCGCAGAAACAGAAACAGTAACAGAAACACAAGTACTTGTTCCGAAAACGTGAGTACTTATGACAAAAACGTAACTATCTTAAGATAATTGTAAACTAGTAACTGTCATAGGAACGTAACAGCTTGTCACAGAAACGTAACTACCGGTGCAGAAACATAGCTGTACACCTATTACTGAAACGCAATTGCATGTATCTGTTACAGAAATGTAGCAACATCTACGTGCTACAGAAACGTAACTATCTCTTACGAAAACGTAACTACCTGCTGCGTAAACGCTTCACTCGAAGTAAATATCAAATCGTTACCTTTTTTGSTCTTTTTCTTTAGTATAGTGTACCAGCCTACCATACAACATACCACTGCTCCGTCCATAGGATTCCTGATTTTAACGAAAAGAACCATATCATACGTGTAAGTGGGGTTTGATGACAATAGTAGTTGTGTTTATCTGTGACCGACGGGGTTTGTTATTCTAAATAACTTTTCTTATACGATTTTTTTTCCTGGGAAAGTGATTTTGAGCTACATTGTTGACAATCTCACAAGCAAATGTGGCGCCGTTCCTTCTTTAAAATAATTTTGTTCCTGGCAAACGTTTTTAAGGTCAAAAAAGACTTATAGTTTTCTTAGTTAAGAAATCTTTATTTTCCKGATAAAATTTCTTATTAAGTATTCCTTGCCCTTCCTGAATTTCTCGCTGGCAACCAGTTGTGACTTACAGCTGRCTGGGACATAAGAAAAGATATATTTCTCCCAGGAACCCGTCGGTTCCACCTATTTATTATTTTGTCTTTTTAATTCTTTTTGTGTTTGTTTGTTTTAGTACGATCCGGTCATTCAGCCTGGTAATGAAGGCATTGTCCACCACATAACAATCAAAGTTTGTGACCCAAACTTCCCCGAGCACTACAATAGCRTATCGGAGGACTGTAAAAACAAGGCAAATATGCCTGCTGAGGTTCTGGGCTGTCGTCGACATGGACTAATAGCAGGTGGATGGGCTGTTGGGGGAGGAGTAAGTATCCATCATGCATGCGTGCAATACTCCATTTTTGTATGCAAAGCGAATAACCGCTGTTTTATTTGACAGCAGATTCTCTTACGCAAAGATCTTAAACACAAAGGAAAGCGCGAGAAATTGAATTAAAATTTTCAATGCTATTGTAATGACGACTCGTGCTCTCTTTTGTTTTTGGTCAGGTCTTTGCGCAAGAGAATCTGTTGTTAAATAAAGCAGCGATTTTCGCTATGAGGAATTACATTCTTTTCTTGATGTAAACAAATAGGACTTTTGCATCAAATGGTTTGACTGGATCCGCCTTACTGGATGGTAATTAGTAAGCATGTCTTCATAAAAATAATCTTTGCCAAGGACAAACAAGAAGAAGATATTTTGCTTTAAGATAAAGATWAAGTAACTTCAAAAACAAACTAATCTCTCTTCGGTTGACAGGGAGTGCTTTTATGGCCATACACATTCAGTATGGCGGATTTTGTACCTTATGACCGATTGTTGCAAAAATCCGACTGCGCAAACTCTTGGTGCCATAAAATTTTCAAAACTCAAGAAAAACCACAAGCACAAAACAATGGCTGAAATAATGACATAGTACAACTGATAAGTGTTTGAATTGACAAATGCCACAGAATTTGACTGAAACAGTTGTTTTCGTTCGATATTCTGATATGACGTCACACTCATATATATTTACGTCATTTCACAACTCTCAATGACCAAAATTCTTATTGACACTGGTTAACAATTTCTCCTATTTTGAATCCCTTATAGCCTTTTGTATTCCCCGGCCATGTTGGGTTTGCYGTGGGTACCGAGTTCGCTGGAAGACACTTCGTCATGGAAGTTCACTACGATAAYCCTGGAGAAATAAACGGTATGTAACGTGTTTTTGAAGGGGCTAGATATAAGGGGGAAGCCAGGTTGATTGGTAATTGCATGGTCTCTTTTGCTTCTTCTTTATATTCTCTGCTGGCTTATAGTTGCGATTTCACTGGAAAAGTTGATTACTTAACAGAGTTTGTAAATAATGTGTAAATATACTGTAAACTCAATTTACAGACAAAATGTTTTTTTACGTTTTTTAAGTTTGTAAATTTTATGTACATTCTGTAAATATCTTGTAAATTTTGTTCGATCAAACATTGCAAATATCTTGTAAAATAAACTAACAAAGTTTGTAAAAGGACATTTCTTGTGTCTGTAAGTTGAATAATTTACATAGTTAATTTCCAGACTCTGTAAATTGATCAATTTTCCAATGTTTTTTTTCTCATCATTTCCTTCTAGGTTTTTATGACAGTTCTGGCTTGAGGTTTTATTACACTAACAAGCTTAGGGAATACGATGCTGGTCTTTTGAGCTCCGGTGTTGCTGTTACGAAATGGATGATGATTCCACCAAAACAACAAGCCTGGAAGACTGTTGGATACTGCTCAAAACAATGCACTGAAGAGGTATGAAAATTTATCCCCCGTCTTCGCGAAATAGTGGGTATTACTCCTGTGGTAGTAAGTTAAGTAAGTAAGTAAGGCAGTAACGGTTCTCGGTAGAACTTCGGAGACGGTTCGGATGCTTTCATTAGTCGCTCGTGGACTCGCCGAATTCGTATTATATAAAACGTATTTGAATCGTATGAGGAAGTGGCTGATCCCATTAAAGAGTGCTCAATACGTACACATAAAGTCTAGAGCTAGTTAAATATATGATATCAAAGAGGCAAGATTTTTCTGTGACTCCGAGTTTCGTGCTACGCAGACAGTATTTAATTAAATACTGTCTGATGAGTGCGTAGCACGAAACTCGGAGTTACAGAAAAATCTTGCCTCTTTGATATCATATGTTTAAAACGTATTTTAGTTTTAAAAATCTAGAAGGAAAAAAAACAAGATAGACAAAAATCTTGTTTTAGTAATAGGTCTTTTCTGAGATAGGAGTTTACATTGCATTGTGGTCTAGCTTCGGTACAAACATCTTTTGTTCTTGCGGCCAAATATGGCGTTGTTTATACTGAAGCTAGACCACAATGCAACAATGCAACAATGTCGATGGGAACTTCATAAATTATACGTCATAACTCCACAGCAATCCCAAACTCTTATGGTCAAAACAACGTAAAATGCAGTAGCCAATGCGGTCTTTGAGTGCATGTCATTCAATTGTGTCCCCTATGTTACTTTTTCAGGCTTTGAAGAGAAGTCCGCTTCCGGGAGGTGGCGTCATGATCTTTGCGTCTAACTTGCATACTCACCTCGCAGGTAGAAGCTTGTTTTCACAATTTTTTGTATTGATCACTTCGACGGATTAGGGAAAAGTTGTGACAACATGCATTTCCATGGCTTGCTCTGGGAAATTGCCTCTGATTTGACGTCATTTTTCTCCAGGTCGAGCTGCTTGGACACAGCATATCAGAAATGGAGTTGAATTGCCTGAGATAGATCGTGACGACAATTATGACTTTAATTTCCAAGTAGGTTCGGCTTAAATTAACTTATAAACAGAATATTACAAAATGAACTACCATTGTCAGGATTCGAATGAATCTTTTAATTCAATAAGCGAAACATTCACAAGTAATATATGAAATATTAGCGGRRGTMCTTTATGGGAATTTAAAACTGCGTTCTGCAAGCGAGCAGTTTTAAAACCCATATTAAAGGTCGGACGCGAATAAGCTGTGACTTGAGATATAACATGRATTCTGATTGGCTAAGAGCTGTGTACTTTTTAAGAATKACGAGGTTAATTAAAAGGACCAAGAGTTGATAATTCATGAGGCCGCTTGCTCTTATATAACATATGCAGTATTATTTTTTATACAACTTTTCAGTAAAATCAGACGTTTTGATTGGTTGGCTTTCGTGTKTTATCAAAGTATAGATACACGGATTACGTMAAAACTAATTGTTTGTYGTATAAAACAGATAGATCTCATTTTTCCGTGCGTGTGTACTCTAATAGATACACAGATGACGTCAAAATGTAGTGAGAACAACAGTCACGCACTCGACTGCGTCTCGTGCGTACTTTTTTGTTCTCACTACATTTTGACGTCATCTGTGTATCTATTAGAGTACACACGCACGGAAAAATGAGATCTATTTGTTAAATAATCGATGATGACGTTTGTGTTACAGAATAACCGGATTCTGGATAAGGAGATTCACTTTAAACCTGTAAGTCCCAACACTTGCAAGCACTAATATAGAATATGCGGCTAGATTGATATAAATGTRGTATTGACCCTTTTTACAGGTCAAGCCTCTAGCGCATGTGCAGTGAGATTCCCAGTTGTTGAATGACTATTTAGATGTCGGTGAAGTTTAACATTAACTCCTTGACGGACCCAAAGTTATCGTACAAACAATAGAGTGATCGCGTGCAACCGTGCAACTGTACAAACTAAATAGTGCTACTTAGTTGTATTTAGTAAAACGTGCATGCGGTACRCAAATTAAATTGAATTGATACAAATGAAGCATTCAATACCGTCTTGCTTCAGGTCCACTTTTAGTACAAATTAGTACTACTTAGATTTTGTACAGTTGCACGCTTTAAGTGCGATCACTCTACCGCATGCTCGATTTACTAAATACAACTAAATAGCACTATTTAGTTTGTACAGTTGCACGCTTTAAGTGCGATCACTCTACCGCATGCTCGATTTACTAAATACAACTAAATAGCACTATTTAGTTTGTACATGCAGTTGCATGGTTTAAGTGCGATCACTCTACCGCATACTCGATTTACTAAATACAACTAAATAGCACTATTTAGTTTGTACAGTTGCACGGATTAAGTGCATTCACTCTACCGCATGCGCGATTTACTAAATACAACTAAATAGCACTATTTAGTTTGTACAGTTGCATGGTTTAAGTGCGATCACTCTACCGCATGCACGATCTACTAAATACACCTAAATAGCACTATTTAGTTTGTACAGTTTCACGCTTTAAGTGCGATCACTCTACTGTATTAAATTTAATGATGTTTAAATTTCATTTTGTGAATGTTCTTAGGGTGATGATATCATCCATACCAGAAGTACATAACCAGAAGTGTCCATCTCCGCATTGGTATCGCCACCATCAGATGTCCCGATAATCTATTTTTAGACAACCAATCACAAACGCGCGCACATATTACACGGCACTTGATTGGTCCTTGATGATCTACTTCAAGAGCGGACAAGAAAGGAAAATTATGTAGTCGATGGAGGCGAAAGAANTGTACAGTTTCACGCTTTAAGTGCGATCACTCTACTGTATTAAATTTAATGATGTTTAAATTTCATTTTGTGAATGTTCTTAGGGTGATGATATCATCCATACCTGCATCTATAACACCATGGACCGTGAAAACATGACCTACGTAAGTAATTCTCGTACGCTCTAAGATGTGTTACTGCGGTTTTCGATGTTCTGCGAACTCTAACACTGCGAACGTTAACGGTCATTTGCTGATTTTGCTCCCGTCAATCAAAATTCCGAAGTAAACGAACTGTTTTCGTGACTCCTCCCATAAAACCGAACCAAGTCCGACAGTCCGCCATGTTGTTTGTTTCTTGATGYAYCGTGAGTTTAGCTCTGATCTTCGATGGAGAATTGTTTTCACGCATGTCGACGACATTCCCCAAAACCGTTCTGCCAAGTAATGTCTGTTGGAAAGACRTTTGWGYACAAAATCTTGAAGATGTACAKGRAAGCTGGAKATGTTSAAGATGGCGGATCCCCGATAGRGAACCCCCGGAATAGGCAAAAAGATMTATTGCTAACTGTGTTTAATTRATTGATYAACAGGGTGGAGCTGCTACATCAGATGAAATGTGCTTGAATTACCTTACTTACTACCCATTCCTACCCAATGTGTCTCGTCTTTGTAGATCTATCGATCTGCAAGCTGGGTCGGCCATGTTGAAAAAGCATTATCCGTAAGTACAAACACCAAATTGATGCAATAATCCATTTTCGAATTCAAAGCGAATAACCGATGCTTTATTTGACAGCAGATTCTCTTACGCATTGAACTTACCAAACACTAAAGAAAGCACGAGAAAATGTTGCTTGTGCAATAGCGCTAACAAATTTACTTTAATTTACTACCCGAGTTGAGGCCGACCCTGTATTCCCAGAAGGCTCATACCTTTTAAAATTAAATTAAAATTTTCAAGTCTATTGTAATAACGCACATTTTCTCGTGCTCTCTTTTGTGTTTGGCCAGGTCTCCTATGAATTCGAAACTGGATTATTTAAGTTTTGAAATATGAACAATGTTCTCATGTTGTTTTGCCTGTTGAAGTAGTTTTTCAGAGACTTGTAATCCGTTGTTATAAAACTCATTAATATTCATAAGGCAAAACACAATAGAAATCATAACTCATGAAGAGAGTTGTAAATCCTCATACACATCGCCCGCTCATATTGTATATATTACGTATCCGTCGGTTTTAAAGGGACACTGTCAATGGCACGCATGCGCGAGTAAACTTGAAAACATTAGGCTAGTGTTTTCAAGTTTATGACTCCAAGTTGGCACGACATAAATCAGCTCGTAAACGTAAACAGATCTAGAATATTCCATAGTGTGTCAAAAGCACCACAAAATGATTTTCCTCGAAGGTAATACTTTCAAAGTCCGTTAGACGTGAGACTGTTACTGCGCATGTCATCCATTGACAGTGTCCCTTTAAGATTCCGTTCATAGCACATAGTAAAGTTTTGCTTTAAAGTATGCTATGATGTACGATACCAGTTGACCAAAAAAACAACAAACAAACAATGAATGCACAACGTTTTACTTACTAACATTACTGTCGACCATGTCTGGAATGACTTCTTTTAGGACCTGACAACTTGTACTGAGAGATGGGTTTACATTGACCTCGAGTTTGCCTTAAAGGTGTCTTTTTTCGCTTTAGCGAGCTTAAGTCGCCAATGAAAGCACTGAGGAACCCGATTAAGACAAGTAACAAAACATGGACAAAGGAAATGATCGACGACTATAGGAAAATGCTTGATGAACAAACTGGCTTTACTGAGAGTTTTCAGAGTTGTAACAACTACAACAATAGGAATCTTCCACTAGCGGTAAGTGTAGTGTCAATCAGGCAGTGACTGACAGACCAACTGACTGATGGACGGAAGGACGGACTGATTGGACAACTTACAACTTGTTTGCTTGTTTGCGTCCTTGAATGATTGATTGATTGGTTGATTGAATGATTGATTGATTGAATAACGTTTTGATAGATCAATGTTTGCTTTCTTGCTTGCTTGCTTGCTTGCTTCAATTGCTTGCTTCAATTGCTTGCTTGCTTGCTTGCTTGCTTGCTTGCTTGCTTGCTTGCTTGCTTGCTTGCTTGAATAACATTTTAATCGATATTGATTCATTGATTGATTGAATAACATTTTAATCGATTGATTGATGGATGGATGGATTGATGGATTGGATAACATTTTAATCGATCAATCGATTGCTAACTGACTTAAAAAGTTATATATGGAATACTTTTTTGTTAAAAAATGATGATATGTGATCGATTTTTATGTGTACACTTTTTAGGAAATAGTCAAAGATAAATACCAGATCCCAATACCAAAGATCACTACACCGCTACCTAAACCAACCGACAACTGCAAAGATGTGAACAGCTCAGCTATAACTCTATCTGTCTGGTTTTTGTCTCATGTCGTTTGTCTCGTTGCAGTGACTATTTTAACATAGGACCTTTTTGTCATGTTTTGTATTTCTTAATAAATTAGAATGCATTGGACTCAATTCGTAATGTTTCTTCTAGTAAAGGACTACAGGCCAAACTGTCTGTTGTAATACCACTAGCATGAACAGCACCGCCATTTTTAAGAAAATACAGTCTTTTTCGATTTTTCTTCATCAATATTGTAAGATGTAATCTTCAAACACGGTTTTTGTTTTCTTTAAAGAAGCGAGAAAGCTACTTTTTCAAAAAGRACTAAGAATTATTTTCCCGACATGCTTCAGTATAGCAAATGGCGTCGCTGTGAATGACCTATTCTTCGTTTTCACTATACGTCACAGCGGCCATCTTGGAGGAACTTCAACAAAGGATTTCTCATTAGTATCTATTGTTCATTCCTCCAACATGGCCGCCGGTCTTCTATCTTTTGAATCCCATGCATGGCTGATGGTTTAAAACGATCAATTTGGCCGTAGCTAAAATGGCTGCCTCTCCCTTATTAATTTTTCCCCCCAGACTAATGCAAAATGATCCCTGGAGTATTTAAGTRTATTCGCTTAGAAGACGGCTAAWAGAACTTTGATATACAGTTAACTCTCTTTGATCGACCACTCTAGTAAGCGACCATCTCCCTTAAGCGACCACCTTTTAAATTTCCCATTTTGTTCAGTTTCCCATATAAACTCTGTTAAAAAAAAACTTTCTCGTAAGCGACCATCTTTCGTAAGTGCGACCACTCTTTCCTGATCCCGAAGTGGTTGCTTACGAGAGAGTTGACTGTATTCAATATGGACTGCTGTTTGCTCTTCACTTCTGAATGCTCTCGTTTGCTGAACGGGCTCCCTGTGTCGAAGTCACTCGACTATAACGGATATAAACAAAGAGCATTCTTAGTGAGCGGGAATAGTGGCCTACATCATGGCGATGGAGACCTTGATTACTTTCCTTCTTATAGTCTTTTCCATTTGCAATKCAGCCCTGGTTGACGAGTACGACCATTTCGCAGCCCTCGACCCTAAAGAGAAAGTGAAGCTTTACTGGACGATCGATGAAGAGACTGTATCGTTTGCTTTAGATGGCGCTACCAAAGGTTGGGTTGGATTTGGTATTTCAACGGGCCAAGGGAAGATGGACAAGGCTGATATGGTTATAGGATGGGTGAAGGACGGAAAGCCGTATTTATCGGTAAGATTCATGTTCTTTGTTACGTTTTTCAAAATCAAGGAAAAGTTAAAAGGAAATACGCAGTGTTCAGCTATGGATACCAACGTTTTTTGTATAGCAACCCATGTCAAGCTGTCATGTGATTTGCAGATGACAGTACTATAATAAAAGAGGAAGAAAGCTGCTGTAGACAAGTGTGGTTTACGACTAGAGAGCTTGTTTTAGTCTATGAAACACCGGCTTTGTTGACACATTGTGCAATCTAGCTATGCCCTAGGCAATACGTGAGGTCAATGGACATTATTTGTCAGAAAAATTTTGACAACCTTCGTCAAGTTATTTTTGCAACTCTTGCCATGTGAGAGATGCATGACTGATCTGCAACCACGTCAACCACGACATAAAACTATATTGTGAGATGCTGATCACGTGACCCATCATTGCAGCCAATCCAAACAATTTTTTGGGTGACTAGGCGCGAATAGTCCACTTCGCGGATAACACAGCTATTAGAAATTGAGTAAATATCGCAAAACTATTACCACCGCTGGAAAGAACAGTGTGAAATTAGTATGCTTACCAGGTTTGAGCATGATTCGATGAAAATTCAAGGAGATACAGCTTTTAAAAGTCGGCAAAATTTACAAAGAAATGTATGGCTGTCGGCATGAGATCGAGGTTGACCTTGACTTGTTATAACCTCGCCAAACATTTCTATGCAAAATTTAGTGTTTTTGAAGTGCCGTATCTCTTTGAATTTAAATCAGATTATTTTCAAACTTGGCAAATTTTCTGATTTTATGACGCTCTTTCCAGTGATCTCAATGATTTACCATAACGACGTAATGTAAAATTTCGAATTATCCGCGAAGTGGACTATTTAGACATTGTAGTTAGTATATAACATCGACCAAGAATCCATAAAAACATTTGAATTTGAGTCAGGCTCATCGCACTGACTGCGTCTCACACACGTGGTAATGACAGACTAAACGAAGCACAGCACTGCCCATCAAGAGAATATAAAAAAAATGTTGAACGGTATAAAATWTGATGAAATGTTTGAAAGATGCCTTTCAACTGCTTTTTGCTCAAACCACATCCAAGGTGCTAAAGACGTTCAACTTTGGCGAATGACTAAATKTTTGCTGTGTATCAGTTAATATTATCTTCGATGATTTCCTTGGAAACACCAAGGAAGTCCATGTATGTCATTTTCATCCGTCTTTGAAATAGGAATTGTACTATTAAATACTATTACCCCYTATTAGCTCCCAATATAGTTTAACTTATGAAATGCGACAAACAAATTAGATAAAAAAGGTTTTGACTTTGCCTTTTGGTAGCCTCACACCCTAATAGTTACTATTAAACACTGACTAGTATAGTAATCGGTTTCACAGACGGATGCCGAAAAAGAATCCATCTAGACCCTTTACAAGAGGTCTTATTTTGGCAAATTGTTGGGACTGTCTAACATTGTTTTTGAAATGAGCTCGGCTTAGCTATTGTGTTATATTGTGATTTTATGTAATGTTTACAACATGAGCGGCCGTGTTGTATGGGAAATTACAATCTCGAGCYGCAGGCGAGAGATTGTAATTCCCATACAACACGGACGCGAATGTTGTAAACGACTTATAAAACTCCAACACAAATTAACATGAATTACAGTGAGATAAATGACAAAAAATGGCAATTAAGGAAACTGCTGAGTTGAGTCGCTATTAAGCATGCGCAATTTACTGCAACACAGAACATTTTGAATAATTATCCATCCCACATGGAAAGCAAGCCATCTGTTGCATAAGCCAGTTCTGTTATCCGTCTTTGATTGCTTCAAAACCTAGTGAAGGTCTATGATGCGACACTAAAACTGAGACCTTTGCTAGTGTTGGGTTGTCTCAAGGTGACGACCGTGTTGTAAATCTTATACAACACTAGTGTTGTATCACAGTGTTGTATCTGATTTACAAGGTCAATCACCTGATGAAATGGACAACCCTTATTGGAGTAATAGCTCATGCATTATTAATAAGTTTTATAAATTTAGTATACAACCTATTGTTTTACGCGAAAATTAAATTATTTTTATTCAAGTGTAACAGATAAGTAATCGCGCAAGCTGTATAACTGTTCTCTAAAATGCTGGGGAGCATATCTGCTATGTCCGCTCTCGCTTGAGTTGCAATAGTCCCTGTTGAATGACATCTCTTTGCATAAAATAAATTGCTTTGAAAAGCAGTCGCGGAATGAAGTGCAAAGAATGTTCGTGAGTTGATAAGTTTARTAACAGTCCACGTGTGGTAAATTCCACGTTTTGAAATCTATAATTCCAGCTTAACCCTTCAAGGTTTCTCTCTATGCTAGAAAAACTCGAATTTGTATAACTAGTCGAGCTGATAACACTAAAAATAACTCAAAAATTTCTTCGTGTCAAGCAAAAACAACGTAAGATGGTAATATCGCGAAAGAAGACAGAGGGATGTTCAAAAAACCGTGAAATAGATATTACACTAACACACCTTAGTACGCTCTATAATTACATTGTTTTCTTTTATGTCTATTTGGCTATTACACTTTAATAGTTAAATTTATTGACCTCTGAAAGCACTGAAATAGTCAGCTATATATCTTTAAAGCGCCGTTTACGGCACGAGCTATTTTCCTTGACAAATTTGCTCGTGCAAATGGACAACAAGGAAAATGTGGCAAGGAAAAATTATCAAGTAAAACTTGTTGACCATTCACACGGGCAATTTTTCCTTGTCAAGGAAAACTTGTTCTTAGTTTACACGAGCAAAGAAACATTTTCAAGGAGGAATTGTCAAGCAAAACTTGTTGACCATTTACACAGACAATTTTTCCTTGTCAAGAAACTTGTCAAGGAAAAATTGCTCGTGTAAACGGCGCTTAATTGTGATGCGCGACCAGTAAGGCATGAACCTAACGTTATTTACTCCATGAATATTTGAGTTTCGAGATCTTATTTGTGCAGCCTTAACCTTGAAAGAATGCAATATATTCTTTTATTCAGCAGAGAATCTATTGTAAAGTTAACACTCTATGTACAAAGAAGACAATAATAATTTATGCCTGATTGAAGCTAAGCTTGCACAAAAGAGAATTCGAAACTGAGTTTTTCACATACACGTGGAATAAACACGCGTCCACCTAGACTGACCATGCCATGGTATTCCCACCTAGGATAGACATGGTGTTGGTCATTACCCCGATTTAGACGATCACAATGACTACAAGTTGATCTCTGGCATGGAAGACAATGGCCGTACTATCATCAAGTTCAGCCGAAAGATTGACACTTGTGATGGGGAAGACATCAAACTCAAGGTACAAATATACAAATAACGGGACGAAATAACAATCTGCTTAACTCGAGGAATAATTATAGTAATTACAAAACAAGACAACAATATCTAACAACGCAACAACATTATTAATATATCGCTTTAAACAAAAACAAGTTAATAAACAACAACAATAAACAAAGTTAAAGCACAGCCAAATATAAATAAAAAAAAAAGTATTTTAAGTTGTTTCCTCGGGACTGCGCAATATTTAACAGGGGGGGGCAACATCTAATTTTATGTGCTTAAAAGGGGGGGGGGGACAGCGTCTAAAATTAACTAGAACTTTAAGTGGAAACTGAAAAATCTTTAGAAAAATTCTCAAGAAAAGCGTGCCACGATTTGCGACAACTCTTTATTCACGGGGAGGGGACAGAGCGCAATTTATTTCGTTTGCAATGGGGCTAATAATGAGCTTTTTTTGATTTTTTTKGCTTATTACTCAACCCCCCCTCCTGATAAATATTGTGCAGTCCCTTAGAACAACAATCACGAAAATATCAACATCACTAAGCAGTAGGCAACAACAAGAGCATAAAACATACAACGACAATAGATTTCTGAGACTTTTACGTCACTACTTGACTTTCAATGCATTGTGGGATCATTTTCATGAGAAAACAAAAGAAATCCGCCATGTTCTGTCCCAAAAATATCCTACAATGCATTGCGTATACGGTACATGACGTAAAAACTTGCAGAGGTCTATTAACGACACAACAGCTCCTAGCAGGCCCTGTGCAGCTGACCTACCTTAAATCAATCAGCTATGGCAAAATGATGCCCAGAAATAAAAAAAAGGAATTAGTAAAAAGACATAGTTTCAAGTCTTAGCACTAAATGCTTGAAAAATGGTAGCAAATAGAAAATCAACTTTTTTCTCAAGAAACGTATGACAAAAAAAGACAAAAAAAAATGAAGAATTTGCAATTGCTGTCATTCTTGAGGTATTTAGAGTTGAGACTTTACCATTTTACCAACATCAACCTGCTCTTTCCATTTCTGGACATCATTTTGTGATTGGTGATTGATTTAAAGGTAGGTGTGGTCACGTGATCGCTAGCTGCACATGGCCTATTATATTTGTATATTTGTTGATTCATTCCCCAGGAGGGTACTACAAAGGTGATTTTTGCACTGAACGATAACGATCCCGAGTCCCCTAAGAGTATCCCTAAGCACACCTTCAAAGGAATACGAAGTATTTTGTTGCTGAATGATCTTGGWACCAGGAACGAACCTGACGCCTCTTGGAAGCATTTTGACGTCCTGAATAAGAACGTAAGTACTATTGTGATATAGTCCTATGGAGGACACAGACTCGTACCCAGTCGTTACTCTTCTTTATTCTCTTTCTCGCGCAGAGAATCAAGGGAAGTCGGAAGTTTGGACTTCCCTTGATACAATACGACCCGTAAAACGGGCGAGAGAAACGACTTGGTACGAGTYTGTAGAGGGCACTTGATTGTGTCTTCATCTGAAACTGAATGACTGTCTTATATGAAAGAATAGGCGGCTGTTATTGCCCTATGGCATAATGACGTCACAGTATGTTTACATTGTGAATAGATGCGTAGAAAGATTCAAAATTTGGACCTATTAACATTCTTTCCGAAAGTAGAACTTTAGTTTGTCGAGTTTTTATGTACATCATTTATCAATGATAGCTCATCTACATTTTATTTGTTATGCAGTCACTCTGATCCCACGAACGTGATTTTGTTTTGGCGGTAAATGTACGCTCGCGCGCGAGCATGACAACGTAACTGTCTCTATAAAAGTCTCATAGATAAAAAAAAAGGATTGATTTCCCAGCGTTTATCGGTGAAATAAGAAAAGTGATACTATTGGAAAAAGACGATAGAAGGCACAAAAGCCAAGAGCGCACCATCCTCTAGTACCTAAATATACATCGTAGCCTCCTCCACAGGCAACTCTTTTTTCCTCCTTTCAAATTGGGCTTCCTTTGTAATGGTCATTTTGGCCTTTAGGGACTAGTGACGAGATAGCAAAAAGACAGGAAGCCCGTGATTCTTAGTGATGCCTGCGGAGGAGGCTATATACATCGAGCGGTGACCATTTTGTGGAAAGGTCTATACTGAAACACGAACGCGAACGCGAACGCGGTGTATGGCGGCTGGCAATGTCATACATTTACCATCACTACTAACACGAAATGTATTATATTCTTAATTGTAGTATAGYGTACCAGATAGCAAAACAACTTATCACTGCTCCGTCCACAAAATACCTGACTTTAAAGAGAAGATCCACATTGTCCGAGTAAGTAGAAAAATTAAATGATAGTCATTTTCCTTAAAACAAAACAACTATTTAGTTATTATTTGAATTTAGTGACCATTTTAGTATATATTTTAGAGTGAATGTACTATAAAACGATATCAAATAAGCAATGTTTTCCATGAAAATCAGTTAGAGCTGATTTAAGGGTGGGCCCGGGGGCCGGGGGGAGGGGGGGGGCGTTTAAGGGGTCGCGACCACGCCTTTTCTAAACATTTTGTTTTCTTTTTACTATCATAAAATATGAATTTTATATAACACATTAAGAAAAAATTGAATAAAAGAAAACAATCTTTTAAAATAGGACGAAATGCAAACTTGTAAAGCTATTATATTAATCATTAAATGAAGACAACTTTTATCGTCCTTTTTGTTTTTGGAATGAAGATCTGGGCATGCGAGATTGTTGTCGACTAAAACCGCGGTCTCTCGCTTTGAACGGGAAAAAGGCGTATTGCTGGATCCGCACCTGAGCATGATAATAGAAGTGTTCACGTGACTATTTGATCAGTCGACCAGCTGAAAAACATTACAACAACTAATTTGGCAAATTTGTACAAACTTGTAATTAGTAAGTTTGGGATGCACGTGCAATCTCTGAAATATGCAAATCAGAATCGAGTGAAGCTGAGCCATACRAGCGCATTTTATAACGACCGCTTCTCTGGTGTGGTGCTTTTCTTTTGTTGAACTTCATGCTCAAAATATTTATTAATATGTTGCTGTTYATATTAAAAACATTGCGAGGTAAGTCATAATTATTCCTATGAGAAATCATAGTTAATCTATTAACTATGGAGAAATGCAAAAGAAGAAGTCTTTAAGAACGATTGAATTTGCGGCATTACCCAGTTTTATATATTGGATTGATTTTACATTTTGTAGCACAAAGAAATGAAGCCTCTTGACTAAAAGGTTTTAAAAAAAGACGAGTGCAAATGTGCGTCTTATAGTTACTTTAGCTTTAAATATTTCTTGTGCCTTATAATTTTGCAGCCGCGCCGCAAAGGAAAGAAGGAATGAAGATTCCTTTTTTGTGTTTATTTTAAAGTCCACCTCACCCAATTTTTTTTATATTTGTAAAGAAAAGACTTTTGTCATAGTAACAACAATTTGTACAAACAAATTTGATTTCGTTTATTTAAACTACATTTTGAAGCGAAAACAACCGCGGACAAAGCCAATTTCGGGATTCCTGTGTGCCTGATCAATGTCTTCGTGATGACGTAGAGGGAGTAAGTCGTTCGAGAGACAACGATAGATACCTACAGTGAAATGACAGTAAAAATCAAATCTGAAACAAGAGAACCTGGAATTTGAACAGCTGTAAATACTACCTACATATATTGAAAGAAGTTACTTACCTGGGGCCGTAAATAACTTTTCCTGTTCCTCGATATTTATCTAGATCTATACGCAACACTTGTTTGTCCAGAATAATCTCTCAACACTTTGGCTCCATTTTTATAGCCAAGACATGAAATAACGTTCAAATCGTCAGAATAATCTCTAGTAGCATTAGATTTGCCGTTTCAGGCTGGATTATCCCACGTTCAGTCTTAGAAAACATAGATTTGTAATGAAATATGTGGAACTTGTACAGTAAACTTTGTATTTACCGAAGGACGAGTTACTCCATCTACGTCATCAACCCAGGCTCCCTCGCACTCGGCCAAAAATCATTTGGCCGAATTAAACGAGCATAAAAAATATAAAATTTGGAAATTCGAATTTTTTTTATGTGAATTTGTGGTTTATAACTCCTAAACTTTTTTTTCCAACTGTAAAAAAAATTGGGTGAGGTGGACTTTAACTCTTGTGTCTTATCTGTACAGCAGCGACAAAATTGCAAAAAGTAAGCAAAATAATAATAAAACTAAGAATCTAAAACGCGTTTACTTGTGGTAGTCTAGTTTTACTCTTATCTAGTCTGAATTGCTTATTCGAGACACGTGCTCGTTCGCTCTTCACACTTCAACTAATTTCTAACAAAGTTTGGCAAATTAAGGCAATTTCTTACAGTCTTTCAAGGATATATTAATTACAATCTACTTTTTACCCATGTCATCATTAGTTTGAGCTGAATAAGGCATGGGTCAAACGCTTAACTAAATTTTTGCCGTACAAAATTCATAAGTTTATATTGTTAAACATGCAAAAGTCACTGTTTGATCTTGTATGCATTATTAGAAAAACTCTTGTGCCGTACTTCTCTTGCACTAAATGCAACTTTAAAAACTTTTCAATTCTTTATATTTCCATATAGCTGATGATACTTTGTGTTTTTGAAAGCAAATAAAAAAATATAATTTTTACTATAATCTACCATTTGGCAGTAAACATTCTAAAAATTCTTGAAAGGTTCATAAAAAGATATTTGAACAGAATTAAGCTCGACGAATTAAGTTCGACGTTTGACTCAAGAATAACCTACGCAAAACCAACAGAAATGCACCCAATATATTAGGATTGTATCAAATGAAGCCTATTGGCTGCTATCTGCAAGTTCAGATAGTATGCGATTCCAAGCTTACGCTGTCTAGTGTCACTTGATCGTTTAGCGTTCTATAACTATGTTTTCCGTGTTCAATCTTCATTCCCTAACGATGCTGTATAGAAAGCAAAAGCTTGGAATCGGATATTATTACTAACAAATAGCATCCAAGGCTTCATTTGGTASAATTCTAATATACACATTATGCTGCTAAAGAATAACTTCATACGTTTTAGCACCCAATATATTTCTCATTTGTATTTTCAGTTCGACCCTGTTGTCCAGGGTGGCAATGAAGGCGTGGTACACCATTTAGTCGTACTAGTTTGTGATGCCAAATTCCCCGGAGATAAGCATGGTAATTTCTCGGGATTATGTAGCGATAGGGAAAATATGCCTATTGAGGTGCAGAAATGCCACGGACTTGGGTTGCTGATCG